TCCGATAAAAACGGGTATTTGACATAGGATATTTGTCTCTAAGCATATCTAGAGGTTTGGATTTTACATCTTTATATCGCATAATATAATCATAGTCTGTTGGTGATAGTTTGACTGCATCAGATCGCATGGTTTTGTTGACGTATTTATAGTGTCAGTAATAAAAAAATTATTATCAGTAATATCGATAATATAAAAAAATTATTATCAGTAATATCGATAATATAAAAAAATTATTATCAGTAATATCGGTAATATCGATAATATAAAAAATTATTATCAGTAATATCGGTAATATCGATAATATAAAAAATTATTATCAGTAATATCGGTAATATCAGTAATATATAAAAATCATTATCAATAATATCGGTAGTATCACTAGTATTGGTAATATTGGTAAACCAAAAGTATATATAATATATCTATTACTTAGCCTTGATTTTTTTTTAATATATGAGAAAAATAACATGGCCAAGGTGCGTACATTGCAAGATACCAAGAGCGTGGAGTCCAAAAAAATACAAGGGCAGGGGTATAGGCTTGGTAGTACCCGCGAACAAGAACTCGAGGAGGCATTACGTGATAGTATCAAGTCCAATTCCGAAATTACTAGTGAATATAAAAATATGCAAGTGGTATATTCGAATCATAGCAAAAATACCAATAAGGAGAATGATCAATTACGTCGCAATAATGAGAAACTCTCCAAGCATGTATATCAGCTTATAGATGAGGTTAAGCGACTGCGCCCAAAGATAGATACTCTCAAATCCCGTATCACTGATAAAGATCTTTCTCTTGCCGAATCCAAGGCTGAGAATGTTACAAAATCCAAGAAAATTAGATCGCTCGAATCTATGATCAAGATATTGGAAGGTAAGTTGTCTTCAGCCCAGAAGGATGCGTTTTCAATTCAGAATAACTCAACTAAAAAAGAATCCGAGATATTATCCCTCAAGTCTAAAATAGCTGAAGTAGAACATGAGCTAGCTTCAAAAGTCAGTGAACTTGAGTGTCTGAAATCGGAGGCTATATCAGCAGAGCTGGCACGGCCAAAACCTGTCGTTGGTGGAGATGTCGAAAAAAATATAATCAAGGGGCACAGAGTGCACTGCTCCGCAGATAGTGATCTAAGTAAATATTTTATACGCGGAAAAAATACGCTGTGCGAGGAACAGACACGAAGTGACATTTCTCCCGAAATAAGTTCCATATCGAATTCTGATAGGTTCGAAAAACCATTGCTTCGCAAGCCCGAAGGGAGTGGTACCACAGCGATGGATCGAAAATCCGAGACTCTGTCTCCCCTAAAGGGTCATAATAATCTTGCCCAATATTTTGTACATAGAAAGAAAGATGAAAATATTCTTACACATGAATCTTCAAAAGTAAGTACTCCCATACTGGCTCATGATAATATAGATGATACAAAGTATCAAACCCCAGAAATAAAAAAGAATATGACTCCGATTAGCATGAATGCACTAGCTCATGTTAAATCTAATCCTCAGATTTATAATATCACAAAAGAAGGGGGTAGACCCTCTGGGTCATTGCTAAGCAATAAAGAATTACCTATTGTAGCGTTAGGTGCGGGTATGATTAATAATAAATATCAAACTCCTCCTATTATTAAGTTCGCTATTTTTGCCTTAGTGGTAATATTAATTATATGGTATATATACAGGAAAATTTTTCGTCCGATCCCACCTCGTTCTTTGAACTCGAAGTCAGATTACAGTCATCGTATGACCGCCTCCGGCAATTTGTTTTCTGGAATATACCCACAGAGTGAGGGCACTAATATGCCTAAACCAACCATGAACGAACAGAGTGAAGTGAATTATCGGGGGCAAGAAATTTTTTATCCAAATTATAGTTATGGATTCCCAATCTGATATACAAAAAAATCAAAAGAAAGAACTATTGCAGAACAAGCCCGAATGGCAATCCAAGGATCATAGCTCATCAAGCTTACCACCTATGAAACTTTATCTTATGGATATAGATGAAGCTAATAAACATGAATCAATTCGAAATGTTGGACATCCAGCAATGTCATGGCCTTTCAGTAAGGTAGTTAGTGGTAAGAGTGGTACAGGTAAAACTAATATACTTGGAAATATTTTTGTTGGTGACAAAGGTGAATGTATATATAAAAAGAAAAAGGGTGGATCCCGCTATATACGATGTGATGATTTGATAGTTTGTGGATATCACCCAGATGAACCTAAATGGGCATTTGTTAGATATATGTATGGAGTAATTGCAAGTGATCCAAGAGCACCATACTACGAAAATATTAGATTTAAATATATATTACCTGAAAAAATCCCTAGCGTAAAATCATTTTCACCAGAAAGAAGTACTGTAATTATTTTTGAGGATTTATGTGTTGCTCCAGAGTCGATACAAAATCGAATTATTCCATTTTTCACACATGGGCGTCATCGAAATATAAGTCCAATCTATGTAACACAAAAATATCATCATGTCCCAGTAATTATTCGTGAGAATTTATCCCATCTAGTAATATTTAACGGGGGCAGTTCTTATCAAGACGTGTCTAAAATAATTGGACGATATACTGATGATGTTAAGAATGCATCAATGGTTATTAATAGTTACCTTCGAAAAAATGAATTTATTGTATTCGATCTTACTAGGTCGGAGGATGATCCACTAGCAATTCGGTTAAGGTTTGATACTCCATTAGATTTGCAGAAGGAAATAGAATTGCGTCAAAAGAATAAAAAGCAAATATAACTGATAATATCTAATTATTTGTGTAATGTATGTTCCATTATACCATCTACTATTTGTGTAACCGATCTTTTGTATTTTCCCACACAACCCAGATCGAAAATTTTTTTTCTCATTAACGTATCTAAATTTTTCGACTTGCAGTAATTCTTTGTTTACTATAAAAGCATAAGTTGACTTCGACAATGCATATATAAATACAGAGTATCCTGCTTCGCAGATGATAAATTATTTGTAATTATCGATAAAAGAATAGCATAACCGCGAGCTTGCATGGGAGGCAAACCAGTGCTTGATCAGGGCACCGGAAGTGGTCAGACCCAAAGCATGCCACGAAAGGCAGTAACCACTCCTATTCTTTGGGCTCGCGTTTACTAGCTATCGTTCTCATCATCATTGTTACTGTTATCAAAAAATATATTATTGCTACTAGAAAAATTGTTTCTGCTCCATTACAACGGAGCTATCTTTTTTCTGATTTTGTTTATCGAGCCAAGCTTCGATTTTGTTTAATAATGTTGTCTGCGGCCATTTTTGATGCCGATAGAAACTTGCAACTGTTGTTAGACTGAGACCTATTTCTCCGGACAAGACATTGTACATTTGTACAAGCGAACGTTTCTCCTTTTTCGAGGCAGTAAATTCAACACGGAGGATTTCAGTTTCGGTAGAGTATTCAGATCCATAACTTTGTATGGATGCTTGCCCTAGTTAGAAAATTTGGGTTTTATAAATACATAATCTTACGTATCTCAACATAGTGTCATTCTCACGAAATAGTCTACAAACCTTTACTTTGGGCTTCACTTTTCCATCCCGCTTCAGTATGCATTTGGATGTTTTTATTTTTTAATATTAAAATATCTTTTTCAAGTTTCGATACGCTTTGACAAGTAAACACATAGACCACAAACACAGCGACGAAAATCGCAAATAAAAATATATCGGAAATATTGAGTTGCATCTTGTGGTTATTGATTTTGCGGTTGATAAATTGGTTAATCATATTTTGATTTACTGAGTAAACGTTTTGGCCACGCTGGCTCCACTGATAATGTTTTTTCTTACCAAAATTTCCAGTGCTTTCGACTAGTTTTATACGTTAAAGGCGATATACAACATTGGTTCGATGAATTTCATACTAAGTCGTGGATCGGCAATTCTAATATAACTGTTGTATCAATTACTAAATCCATTAATGCATCGATTTACATTATAAATCAGCAACCGTGGTATTGGTTCTTCTTGCCGGAAGCAGTCACACGGTGGCTAGATTCGATCCGCGATATTGGTTCTTTACATTTCGTTCTAATCAAGAAAAATAAATTAACAAACCTAAAATCGGATAACGGATTTTCACAGGTAACACATACTAATACGTAAAAAGTCACATGCCTGAAAAATCGATCACAGAATAAATTAGAAGGTCATGGAACTTTTTATGCATGATGTAATCGTGTGACCTGCAGATCACCCGGAAAAGTTTCTAAGTAACGTAGTACATACTGAATACACTTACTTTTTCACCAACTCCCCACATTATTCGTTAAAATTTTTTCCGTACCTTTTTCAGCAGTTGAACCAATAACATTCCACGAAAGAATCGTATATAGCTCGAAATGTCGGCCACTTTATTCTGTCTTATCAAAGGAAACACGACCGCGAATGCTTTTGAAGTTGATATTGAGAAGGGCAAGTCTATTAGCAAACTCAAGGAGGCTGTCAAAGCGAAAAACAGGCAGGCTTTTGCTAATGTCGACGCCAAAGATCTCAAGTTATGGAAGGTCGAAATCCCTGACGATCGCGATTCTGAGTTAGCAAACCCCGCACTAGACGACGAACTTCTGGCAACTCGAGACGTAGGAGATTACTGGACCAAGAAATCACCTCCACGTAAAAGGCATATCCACGTCATAGTCGAGCCACCGGAGTTCATGAAAAGCATTAACTGTACCGCTTCCTATGGTCGCAACAATATGGTAAATTTTCGGTGGCCTACAAACCGAGTTAAAACCACACTAGCAGAGCTTAAATCTCGTCTTCGCACCTGTTTCACTTTTCCTGACGGCACTGAGGACGAGGACGTAACCATAAGCTGTGAGATTGGTAGCGGAAAAGATCGTACAACCACTCGAATTCTGAACGATATGGACTTAGCGAATATAATCTGGGACGATTCTTTCAAGGGTGATTTAGTATTCGTTGTCGATACGTCGCAACAACCATTCAGTTCGTGGACTTTTGGAAAGATGAAGGTTACATTCGGTCTGTCGGCCGACAGTTATGATCAATTGCCACGTTTCAAGGGTGAAGTAGCGGAAACACCTAATGATATACGAAAAGCGGTTATCGAAGAGATTCTGAGAATGCATAAGGTATCCCCTCCAATCACCAGCGCTAACGAAGCCACCCGAAGTGAATTTATATCAGCTGTCATTTACGGTGTATCATCTATCTTCGACGGCGAGATAAAAATTTATCCGCAATACGAAATTGCTGGGAGGTAAAAAATACTCGCTACTTTTTCCATTATCGTGCTACTACTTTTATTTACATATAAATTTAATTTTTTAGTCACGGAAAAGGACCAATAGATTGGGTCATCATGGTCGGAAATATCATCATCACGGTAACGGAAGCGAAGCGAGAAGATATAAATCAAGGCATAGCTCAAAATACAGTGCAATTACAGGCTTCATTGCAACGAAATCGCAAAAAACGCTCATATGATGATGCCTTGCATGAAGATGTGATGTATGGAATAGTGTCAACGGGTAAGATATCTCTTCCGCTTCAAGCATCTCATCCACCACTCACGAAATAATAAATCTTGATATTTTTTTTTCGCAGGAGTCGATTGGGTCATTATCAAGGTTGTCTCAAGCGGGGAAGGAAACGTCGAAGTGTTCCTGAGTTCGCGTTCACCATATCCATTGCCAATTAATCATCCGTCATTGGATCACGATCAGCTTGCGGGGCCACTCCAAGAGATTTTTGGCCAAATCAAGTGGGTTTTCGACCAACAAATAGAAACAAAGGGCAAACAGAAGCGTCAACGTAGGAATAATAGTGTCACGGGATGTGACCCGATGGCACGAAGTACCGAGCCTTTGAGACCTCTTGCGTAGCCAACTTGGGAGTTTGTTTGGTCAGATCAAATGGGTTTTCGATCAACAGATTGAATCTAATAAGCGTCAACGTAGGAAATAATAATGGATAAGAATCTTCACGGGTTATTTTTGTATTATATAGCCCTTCGATATGTTTTCATAAATAAAATAAAGCTTGTACCACACGTGATTTTTGATTAGTGGCAACGTGAAATGATCTACGAATATTGTGAACGAATCATGTTAGAGGATCCGGAATTGTCAATCGCGAGCTAGATTTCGATTCCTTTCATTTATATGTATTAGCTGAGGTAGTTAGCTCATTAACCGTAACAAATTCTAACCCAACACGAATGTTGTTTTACGTTCGAATTCATACGAAGCTACGAATTAGTTACTTAGGATTTCGACACAGATATCCCGCTTGCGTCGAGTCATAATTGAATTAATTTTCGCTGATCGACACATGAGCGACAATTTTCGCATTCGCCAATGGTACATGCCATATTCTGTAGTCTGGAGCTGAAGTCTATAAAAACACATCAATTTCGCAGAGCATATACATAAGTTCATCCTTAGAACAATTGCAATACCACAAAAACGCACAAACTCTAATAATCCCATGCAGTACAAGCTTTTTTTTACCTGTATTAATGCTTGAAGACTCGATCCCTGGATAAACTCTGAAACTTCCGAATCCTCACAAATCGAAAAGGGTGATAAAATTTTTTTGATCGTTACTGAGACTCTCGTTCCTATTGAGAAAAAGACATTGATAAATGTTCAGCCTACACCATCCAAACTTCGATCACCAATTTCTGTTCTACCTAAAGACCCAGAAGAAAGACAACAATGTGTTATTAAAATAGTATTAGAGCGATTTCCTATTTTAACTCTGAAACATAGTTTTAAAAATAATTACTTTGATTTTAATAGATCAGTGACCTGCCCTTTATGCAATAAAAACCATAAAAAAGAAATATAAGAAATTATATAGAGGGTTTTGGGGTTAGTGAATATTGTGGCAAAAAAACTTATCGTCTCTATTGTTATATAAATAAATATCAAAATTCAATCTCAATAGTAACAGTAAAGCATAGAGCCGAAAATAAAGTCAAAATTTTTCAAAAACATTACTGATTTCTCGCATTTATATGCGTCGCGCATTACAGATCGCATATCGGAAAATTAAATCATATGCTTTTAATACACCCGAAATAGATCTCACATGTCCAAAATAGATCATGTAACGATTATCCCAGATATAGAACGATGCATTATCTTGATCAATAAACTACTGTATTTTGCTATCGCTGTTCCACGAACTTCTATGCTGTCTCTGATTCGCAAATTTAAAACACATGACATTTCTCCCTTGAGGCTCATTATAACGTGACATGATTTAATTTTGTGATCACGATCTGGGCTAACTGATTTTTACGTAATACGTTTCTAATTGAAGCATGTGTTTGAATGCGAAGTCGCCAACCGAAAAAATATATATGGCAGATGGGTAGGCCGGCTTTCTTCTCCCTACACTAAATAAATAAAATTTGTTAAATATCTATTTATACTTTTTCTAATATACGTGGAAGAGATATTTTATATATTCGAATGTATCTTCTCCAAAATTATATGAATCTAATGGGTTTCCATAATTATCTTCTTCAATATTGGTCAATATCGCATTTCTAATTCTTTTACTGAAGATCATATTTTTATTTAATAAATACCTT